TTTTTTTTTGTTTGTTTTAATTTAGGTGAAGCTGCTCATTTAGCTCGTGATTTTCATTATGTATGTGATCAAGAATTTCCAGCACGTCAATGTGCTGAACATATTAATCGCCAATATAATACAACACATCATTTACAAGAACCGTGTGGTATTACAAAACGAAAACAAAATATTCTTGCTGCAAAGTAAAAAAATAAAATATATATATATATATAAATGGTTTTATTTTATTTTTTGTAATTAAAAATAATTTTTTTTTAATATTTTAGACAATTAATTAAAGAATTTACTGATTTACTTTCACAAGATCGTTCACCATTAGGTACAAATAGTCGTTTAGCACCTGTACTTGATCTATCAGTGCAACGACATTTAACACATTTTTCATTAGTTACACATGGTTTTGGTACACCAGCTATAGTCGGTGCAATGTCAGCATTACAAAATTATTTAACAGAAATGAATAAAACATTTGACAAAACAACATCAACATCATCATCATCATCGATCGACAATAAAAAAGATACTGATCTCTTACATACGAAAACTTCATAGATATTAGAAAACTAAAAACAAAAAAAAGAAACTATATACATTCCAATTTCTTTATATTTGTGCGTGTTTTGCTTCATTTCTGCGAATTCAAAGAAAAAAAAAGAAAAGAAAATAATAAAAAAAAAAAACTTTATGTATACAGAAACAAAAAATTCTAGTACTGTTGGCTAAATGACAAATGGTTAAAGATGTGTTGAATATACACACATATATTCGTCATTTGTTTATGATAGACCAATGTACAATACCAATGAATAGAATAGGCAAAAATAAACAAGATCAAAGCAAACGACACAACGGATGCATACATCTGCATATACGACCTAAGGCATTCAATGGTGTTCTATATAGTTAAAAAGAACTGTATATACTTGAACTATGTTGATAACTATCAGGTGATAATGATTATATAGAGTGTACTCTATTGACTAAATGGAATTAGGATCAGTTCTTGTTTTCTTTTTTTTTTTT